AATGACTTCCCAGTCAAGAAATAGGGGATACAATGTTTACCAGGGCACCCATCGGGGTAACTAGAAATAATGGCCACAAACTGGAAGAGAGCAAATTCAGATTGGACATCAGGAAAAAATTCTTTACAGTGAGGGTTGCCAAAATATGGAATATGCTTCTAAGAGAGGTGGTGCTGTCCCCTTCCTTGGAGGTATTTAAAAGGAGATTGGACAGACACCTGGCTGGGGTCATCTGACCCCAGCACTCATTTCTGCCAAGGGCAGGGGGTCAGACTTGATGATCTAATAGGTGCCTTCTGACCCTAGCATCTATGAAACTATGAAACATAAAGTACCATAGCTTCAATCGAGTTCTCTCTGTTCACTCTTCACTGCATTCTGTTCTTTAGCTTCAAAACTCACTCCATCAGAGTATGAAACTATCTTATGAAAAGCACTATGTGCAATCAGAAACCTATTGTATGCAGCTTTGTCTGTATCTAGCATTATTCCAAGCTAAATAAAAGGACTTTTTAGTACAGCTATGTCTGTAATGATGATGCTCTTTGTTGCCTCAGACATACATTTCTGCTTGTTTTTGTGTGGCAGGTTTTTGTATTTGCAAAGTGCCATAAAGACAAAACTTACAGGTTTAAGGTTTACCAGCTTAGCTTTGAATTTGCAGATCTTTTGCATCACTATTACAGAAACTATTGATATCATGACTTTTGCAGCTATTACAGCCTATGCAGAAGTCATCATTCATATAATGAAAGATGGTTGGTTCAGAGAGCAAACATACCAGGAGACCCACAGATCCCAAAGTACTGTAGGTCTATTGAGGTTGCTATCATGCAGATAAAATATATATTATTAAAGTAAGGTTCTAAAATGAAAATATAAAAGCTGGGAAGATATCCTGGGTTCCAGTGATTCCAATGGTGCATTTGTGTATCTGCTACATAATTTAAGAGTGTTTATTTGTACTGTCATGATAGGGGTAGATGAACTAATCCTTAATAAAATAAGAACCCACTCAAACACTGAACCTTCACCCATTTTAACAACTAACCTACAATCAGACTCTTTAGGTAGATCCCCACGTACAGGGGTGTGCAGTTTGTGGCACCACAAACCACATGCAGGGAACCCGAAAATGTGCGCTGTAAATTTGCAGTGCGGTGGCAAAATTTGCCACTAGGAAATCCTGGTAGCAAAAAAAAACCTCCAGGAAAAAAGCAGTGTATAACACACATCCATAGTGTATGGTGCAACAAACAGAGGACTGGCCATCCAGAGCAACACTCTGGCTGCTGGCCAGGCTCTTTGCTGCCAGATCTGTACTCCTGCTGCACCGGGACACTAGGTAATACTGCTGGGGCCAGCACAGGTGCTGGTCCCAGCCTCCCTTACCCAAGACAATTTGCTGCACACTGAAGTGAATGTGCAGGGGTATGCAACGGGGCACAAAGCAGCAGAATAAATTTGTGCCACTGCTATTTGTGCCTCTACAAGCGCATCCCCCTTGCACATGTGGGGGGACCTGCCCTTTGAGATAAACATTTGGTACGTTCCTCTGAACACTTTATTTCTAGCATCTTGCCAGAACCAGAAGCAGAGAACCCAAGTCACGATGAAAAGTGTTTCTCCTGCTACTTCCAGTTAAGACAACAGACAGAAGGGCTGGAAACTTGACTAGAAATCCTGGTCTCTCATTATTGCCAGCCCAAGTTTGCAGGCTTTAGAGGTTCAAATAGTGATAGATACCTAAACTATTGTACCCAAGACTTTTTAAAGTTCAGCCATCCTTATAAGTACACGTCAATAGAGAAAGATATAATTTCTAAAGACAAATAGGAAACATTTGACACACGCTTTTACCTACAAATGAAGCACACTAGAAAAGTGATATACATTAAGGGAAGTATAAATTAGAACTGAACAAAGCTAGAAGGTGGATCTGAACACAGAAGATGGATCAAGCAGCTACTAGATTATTAGCAAACTTTGATCAAGACCTATTCAAGGCAAATAGATGAAGTATCAGTGAAAGGGTTCGCTCTACTTTACTAGTTCTAGAAGGCATCCAGTGTCCCAAGTTCTTTAAAAAATTATGAGAGTTTTGGGGGATTTTTTGGTTTTTGGTTTTGGTTTTTTGCTGAACTCAGTAGCATTAGCCCAGGTGAAGATTCCAATAATTTTTCAGCTGCAGTCGAAGACATTTTTACTTTTTATTTTTATGAGGAATCCTACACAGAAAGCTTTACTGAGCTGCCAATTTATTATTTTTTAATAAAACCTAAAGTTCTGTTAATGGGCCACTGGTAAAGTGATATTATTAGTCCATATTTAGGAAAGAAACCTGAAACTGGATGAGGCTTTCAAAGTAAAAGACAGCTGGGAATCTGAAATTAATAGAAATCAAATATTTAAAAAAATCTGTTAATTCATCTAATCAATGTCCCAGCCCATGTAAAATTATCCCCAACATTATGTTTTTTAGTGCTCTGCCCAGTGTTGTAAATATGATGAGAAATGGGTCATCCACCACTTCCCCACAGCCCCATAGATCACACTGCCAGGATTTTTGCTCAGATATTCAGGCTATAATTGCCAATCTGTTCTGTTTTGTCTTTGTCAGCACTTCCCAAGTATTCCCTTACCTCCTTTTTATTAGTAGCTTTTTTTACAAGCTTTTCATTATCCATAATTGTCCAAACTGCTTTCTATCCTTCTTTTTTTTGTGTGTGTTAAATTGTTTGTTTGTTTTTTAACACTCAACACAGGCTTAAATGTCCTTGGATTTAGAATATTTGGAATAGTGATTTGAAAGCTCTGGATGCACCCTTCAGTACTAGATTGTTAGGGCCCAAAGAAAACCCCTTCCTCAAAATGCATGCAGGATGGGTTAATTTTTGACAGGACATGTAATGTTTAATAGAACATGTATTTTGCATCTTAGACTTATGTCTGCTGAAATAGAAGCTTGCTACTACTGTAATAAATTAAGCAGCTCTTAATACTTTAATTAATCACATCCCTTGTTTCATTTGCTAATGTCTGTTTTTATATATTGGCAAAATATGTTTCTATTCCCTTTAAATCCTTTGGCTTGCGATCACTTAATCTGTTTCTTCGCTATTATCTTTTTCCATTAAGATTTAACAGTTTTTTAATACTGATGTATTAAGAAATTATACCACAAACTATACTAATTCTGATGTCCCAAAGTTGCTGCATGCCCCAAATTTCCCTTTGATTAAAATCATGCAAGATGCTGAGTGTCTCTTTGGGAAGCAAAGGCCAACCAAGAAGGTTTTTATGTATGATTTGTGGAAAAAGTCAATGAAATCTGATGTGAAAGATCACAGGTCATGGTCTCCAGAATTTCTTTCTTAAAACATAACACCTGTAAACTCATCACTGACTGAGTGGAGACCTGACTGAACAGACTAAAAGCAGAAACCTCTTTAAGAAAAAAAGGCATAACCAGATCCAGTCCCTGGAAGATGAAACTAGACAAATTCAAACTAAAAAGTAAGATTTACTATTTTTAATTGCAAGGACAAAAAACCATTGGAATAACTTGCCTAGGAATGTGGCTGTTTCTCTAACACTTGAAGCCTTTATATCAAGATTGAGGACTAGATTCTACTTCCCCTATTAGGGTCTAAGTGGACGTAATCACCTAAGGGCCTTTTTACACTTTACACTGTGAGCTGTTCAAGTGTTGATGGCTCTTAGTGCTAGCACAAGTTTGGAGCAGTCATGTGTTAAGGTCAGTAGGGCCCTGGAGGACTTAAAGGTAAGTATTTCCTCCCACTCCAATTCCAGACTTTGCCCCTGTCCCCTGGCTCCCCTGCTGCTACTCAGAGTCCCCCCCCCCCCCCCACTTCTGGCTCACTTGCCCCTGATGTCTGTCCCAGGGGAGCAGGCAAGGAAGGGTTAACTTGCCTGCTCAGCTGCCACTGCTGCTGCTGGGCTGCTGTTCTTCTCTGGGCTGAGCCCACCCAGAGAGCAGTAGCAGCAGCAGTAGCAGTGTCCAAGCAGGTAGGTTAAACTTTCCCTGCCTGCTCCTTTGGGACAGACTTTACGGGCAGCTACAAGTAAGCAACAGGCGGTGGGAGGGGAAGGCAGCAAGTGGGGATCTGGGCAGGGGAGAGGGCCCGATGGGGTATTTACAGTAAGGTGTAACCTAGAGTGGCTCCCTCTTAGTATAACGTGAGCTGGGTAACATGGATCAGAGATAATCCTGGCCTGGAGTGGGGTACCTTTGAGGCACCTAACAAGTGCTTGAAGCAAGGCTCAAGTGTTAATGTATAGACAACCCAAGGGGTTAAGAGCTCCAGGAGCCACCCAAAATTACTGTATAACAAGGTCCTTAAGTGTGATTCTACCTTGCTCCAGTTTCTGAAATTCTCTGAATAGAAAAGGTGAGTGGATCCTCCACCTCCTTGCTGCTTTTTTAGTGACTTATTCTAAAGCAGTGCTTCCCAAACTCTGCCTTAGCATGAGCACATTTAAAGCCCCATTTCCTCAGCATAGCCCTTCCCTCCCAACCCACAGTCCCTCACCCCCAACTCCATTCCCTAATGTTGCGACCCCATTTGAGGTTGTGACCTACGGTTTGGGAACTGCTGTTCTACTGTCTCATGTGATGGCATATTACAAAAATAGATGCAGTCATTGATTTTTTTTCAGGGGCTGAAACAGGGTGGAATAGGATTGTACTTAGGTGGTTAGTGGATAGAGTAGGATGTGTCCCTAAATGTCTTCACTCAGAAGTTATGGGCTTGATGAGTTTGGGTGAGGGTCTTTGGTGTATGTTATGCAGTAGGTCAGGCTTCCTAATCATAATGGTCATTTCTAGTCTTAAAAGCTATGCATGAATAAGAACTGCAGTTCAGACTCACATTGTGTATCAAAGCTGAAAAAGAAATACTGTAAAAAGAATAAATAGACCTCTCCAATCTCCATAATATCTAACTAAGAGGCAGCCTCTATGATTAAGAAAAGTAGAAGTTATTTTGCCAATGTATGCTAGAATTTCACCTTGGTTTTATATCAGAAACACATGATTAATTAATCTGCTTCCACTTGGTAAGCCTGAAGCAGTTGTACAGCTTGTTCTAATGAACAGACTTCTTGGCCTGGTGGCAGATTACCATTTCAAATCATCGGCCAGGTGCAGGACACAGGAAAGGTGGGTTCAAAGTTCCACGCATCTCAGAATACAATAATATAACATTTCAGCAAAGGTAAACACTGGCATTTTCCAGAAGCCCAAGATCGGGGAGGGGGAGGGACCCTGATTTAATACTGCATGTTGCTATGTCATGAAATAATCATTTCTTTGGATGCCAGAATAGTAAAATATATTGCAGAACACTAATTTTTGATCATTTCAAGCCAAATGAATGAAACAGAGCTAAGGGGCTTCTAGAGCATGGACCACATTCTACAGACAGTTTATTGGCTCCTTTTAATTACCTCCGGGGTTAAAATCATTGTGCTTATAATTTAAAAGGTGGAACATTGGCAGGTGAAAAATCAAATAGATTGCCTCAGTGGTACTACTTCCACTTCTAATAATTAGAGACAACTGGCCATTCAATATTAGGCAATACTGAAATATTTTTTAAGTAATAAAATGCTCCAGGAGATTTTTTGGTGAAGGCCAAAGATGCAGACTCAGGAAATCCAGGTTCAGTTCCTGGTTTGGAAATAACATTTCTATGCATCTTTCAGGCTAGTCACAGAAAGCCCATTCACCAAGATGATAATCCTAGCTTTCTCTAGCTCTTTGACTCCCTTTCCTAACTGTAGGCTCCAAGTACAGACCATTCCTTAAAGTCCCCAGCATAAGATGCCTCAGTCTGGGATGAGGCACTCTTGAATGCTGGCCTAGGGCCAACATGTATTAAATACATTTAGGCTTAAATATTGCATGTCTGCAGAATTCCAGCTAGCTGAAATCAATGATGGAATCAAAGAAAATTATGGTTGGAAGGGACCTCAGGAAGGGACCCTTTCTCAACCCATTGCTCAAAGCAAGACCATCCCCAACTAGATCATCCCAGCCAAAGCTTTGTCTAGCCAGGTTTTGAAAACCTCCAACGATGGAGCTTCCACCACCTCTCTGGGTAACCTGTTCCAGTGTTTTACTACCCACCTAGTGAGAAAGTTCTTCCTAATATATAACCTAAACTTCCCTTGCTGCAAAGGGACACAGCTTCCTATACCATTGCTCCTTGTTCTGTCATCTGCCACCACTGAAAAGAGTTCAGCTCCATCCTCTTTCAACCACCTTTTAGGTAGTTGAAGGCTGCCATGAAGTCCCCTCTTAGTCTCCTCATCTCTAGACTAAATAAACCCAGTTCCCTCAAGTCTTTCCTTGTAAGTCTTGTTCTCCAGCCCCCTCACTATTTTTGTTTCCCTCCACTGAACTCTCTCCAATTTGTCCACATCCTTTCTGTAGTGGGGGCCCCAAAACTGGACACAATACTCCAGATGTGGCCTCACTAGTGCTGAATAGAGGGGAATAATCACTTCTCTTGACCTACTAGCTATACACCTACCAATGCAGTCCAGTATGCCATTAGCCTACTTGCCAACAAGGGCACACTGTTGGCTCATATTCAGCTTCTTGTCCACTGTAACCGCAGATCCTTTTCTGCAGAGCTGCTGCCCAGCCAGTCATCCCTCAGCCTGTACCGGTACATGGGATTGTTTCATCCTAAGTGCGGGACTTTGTACTTGTCCTTATTGAACCTCATGAGATTCTTTCTGGCCCAATCCTCCAATTTGTCTAGGTCACTCTGAATCCTACCCCTACCCTTCAGCAAATCTACTACTCCCTCCAGCTTGGTGTCATCTGCAAACTTGCTGAGGGTGCACTCTATATCATCTTCCAGGTTGTCGATGAAGACATTGAACAAAACCAGCCCCAGGAATGACCCCTGGCGCACTTCACTTGATACTGGCTGCCAACTAGACATTGAGCCATTGATTACTACTCTCTGAGCCTGATGCTCCAGACAGTTTTCTATCCACCTTATAGTCCATTTATCCAGCTTGTACTTCCTTAGTCTGTCTGCAAGAATGATATGGGAGACCATATCAGAAGCCTTGCTAAAATCAAGGTCTCCCCTCATCCACAAACCCAGACATCTCACCAAAGAAGGCAACCAGGTTTGTCAGGGATGACCTGCCTTGGTGAATCCATGCTGACTGTTCCTAATCACCTACTTCTCTTCCAAGTGCTTGGAAATGGATTCCTTGAGGATCTGCTCCATAATTTTTCCAGGCACTGAGGTGAGGCTGACCAGTCTAGTTTCCTGGATTGTCCCTTTCTTAAACATGGGCACTCTGTTTGCTCTTTTCTGTTCATCTGGGACCTCTCCTGATCTGCATGAGTTTTCAAAGTGATGGCCAATGGCTCTGCAATCGCATTAGCCAACTCCCTCAGCACCCTTGGGTGCATCTCATCTGGTGACATAGACTTGTACACATCCAGCTTTTCTAAGTAGTCCCTAACCTATTCTTTCACCACTGAGGGCTGCTCACCTTTTCCCCAAATTGTGCTGCCTATTGCAGTAGTCTTGGAACTGACCTTGCCAGTGAAGACTGAGGCAAAAAAGGCATTCAGCACTTCAGCCTTTCTGCATCATCTGTCACTAGGTTGGCCTCAGCAAGCGCTACCATCCCTGCAGTTTTCACCCTGCTGTGGCTTAACACACACACGTGACATGAGTTTTGCTTTCAGGATTTGAGGTACAGTTTCCCTGCACCTATCACCTCATAACTTGGCAGGCTTCATGCACTCAGCAGCAGCTACCAGCATCCACATCAGACAAAAAACAACAAAGTTATAGATATTTCATTGATTCCCCATTATACTCTATGGCCAAATCTCCAAATTGCGGAATCTTTTCCAAATCGATTTGGAAAGCCTAAAGCTTCTAGTGATTCAGTTTGGATTCATAGATTCGGCCTCTGAATCATCCAAATCATCTCCAAATCCAAATCACAATCCGAAGCTTTGCACAGCCATAGTAACTAGTTGATTGCCCTGATCAGGGCAATGTGTAAAGGGTGCATGCAGGTGCATGTGCACCCCCTGAGCGTGACAGTGTACTCCCTGCAAAAATGTGCCACCGACACTGTCAGTGGTGCCTGCAGGTGGTCGCCAACCCCTGGTCAGTGCTTGCCACCCCCTCCATGCTTACTGCAGCTGTACTCCCACTGCCACGCTCCCACCTCCATCAGCGCTGCTGTGCCCCCCACAACCAGCAGGGGCACGTGCCAATTCATGGCCCTGATTTCTCAGGAAGTATGAGAGCACCTTCCCTGTTGCCCCATCCTGCTTGCACTTCCTCTAGTTCTCCTGTTTCCCCACTTACTTCAGGGTATCTTTGTTACTATCCCAAACTCGCCAACCAAATAGTTGCCTTGTGGTAACTCCCTGGTACAAACTGCTGTTGCCTCTACTGCTGCTCAATAGAGTCATCTTTTTGGTATCTTACCCAAGTTAAAGATGAGCTTCAATCTCAAGACCACCTTATTTTATGTGAAATGCATTGTGGGACTATATTTCACCATTGCACTTAGCCTAAATACAAACATTCTGAGGATACAGACAAACAAAGCACAACAATGCTATTAATAGTAAATATTTTCTATATTTTTTTTTTATTTTACATGGCTCTGACAGTGACTATGGTGAAACATAGTTAGCCATGTTAGTCTTAAGTCAAGTAGAAGACAGGGTAGACTTGTTTCTAATAGACTAATCAAAGGTGTGTGTGTGTGTGTGAGCATGTTAACCCAATATGAACCATGTATTTTTATAGTCATTCTCAGTGTTGGCTGCATTTAATCAGCTTCATAGTTAGTATCCATTACTGAGCACATGCTACTTTTGGCAGCAGTTTAATGATAGACAGTGTATTTTATGAGGTTTCCTTATATGTGTATATAAGATGAGGGGCTTTCCCCTGCTCTGTCCCTTCCCCCCCCCACCACCACACACACACATACACACACTGGATTTACTAAGATAGAAAACAATATTTTCTGCCCCCAATCAGCATGGAGAAAAAACCATGACCCAGGTCCAGGCATGAGTGGGGGACTAATTAGCATGTGGATCCTTTGTGGGGAGCATCTGGAGTACATATGAGTGGTGTTGAGCTATGGGATCACCACAGCTTGAACGGCTATTGATTCTGTTGGGGCCCAGCCCAGTGAATGAGATGGTAAATCATGAGCCTTTTGACTTTGGACTGATATCATGCATAGCTTTTCTATGTGTAAGTGCTGCTTAAGTATGTGTATGGAGTACCTGTGCTAAAACTTGCAGCAAAAGGTAAAATGCATCCATCCTGGATGAACTTATTCTATGGGTACCTGTAATAACTTCTCTATATGCAAGTTACTACAAACATATTTATTTCAAGGTCAGTATTTTCAAATTTGCGCTTCACTTCCATGAGCTCAGGGAGAGCAGGTTCTGATGGTCAGGAAGGAGGGGAGAAGGGGCTGCAGGCAGAATAACTTGGAGGGGGGCAACAGGCAAGGGGGCCACCTGACCCCCCCCGATTTATTTTTCCTACTGTAGCTGTGAGAGGGGGCAAATTCAAGGCAAACCTTTAATAATTAGACTCTTTAATTGGATCTCATACGAAACATGGCATTGTTTTTGCCTCTCTGGTGGTCAGCAGCAAGCAGCAGGGCTTCTGGGGCCCCTTGGCCAATCAGCGGTGGGGAGTCAAAAATGGCACCAAATTTTAAACTGCAGTTTTTGCCTCCCTGCCAATCAGGAGTGAGCTGCAAGTACAGCCCCTCCACCGATCAGTGGCAAAGAGGTACACGGGGGAACCTGCACGATTAGAGGTGCTGCCACGCACCCCACTTCTGCCATGTGTTTGGTAGGTCCTTAAAACAAGAGGAAGGGAAAGAGGAGGAAGAAACTACAAGGACCAGCCACCCCCCTCCCCCAGCAATGTAGGCGCGCAGTGCAGGCATCGGGTACATGAGGATGTGGCTGCCACCGCTGCTGCTGGTTTCCCTTCCTGTCTCTCCCCTGCCGCCCCCCTCGGCAGGCACCAGGGTGGGGGGCAGGAGAATGAGGACAGGGACACAGCTTGTGTTTTGCTGCCTCCATCCCCATGTCTGTGGCTGAGTTTGTGAAGTGCTCAGCACCAGCACCGACACGGGGGGTGGGGGTCAGCAGACGACAGAGTTCATCCCTGCCTATAATCTCCAGACCCCACCCCGGTGCCAACTGCAGCGCTGGGCCTCGTGGTGGCTCCAGATTGCTCAGAGCAGCAACTTAAAAAAGATTTTTTTAAAACATTTTCCTCAGCACACCTCCTAATGTGCCAAGGAAAATGTCTCTGGTAACTGGCACGCGTGCCAGGGGTTGCTTTTCCCTGCTCTGAACTGTGGCAACTTCGTATAGCCACACCCTTACACAACTTAGGTAGTGTCCTTACCGTGTTTAGTCGGTCAGAGTGATGCTTCAAGGTGTTTTTTCTGCCCCTGTGTTTGACTTGTTTTAGTGCAGCAGAAATAGTTCTGAGAAACGTAGGGCATGCTCACACCAGAAGAGCTGTATATATGAGAGCTGTTTTATAGTGAGATAAATTAAGCTAGCTTGTTTCAGAATATACTCTGTAGTTTGCACATTCCTCTCGGCCTTCCCATTCATCTGAGGATAACCGAGACTGTTTGCAATGTGGCAATTGTTATACGTGTCCATAAATTAAATGTATTCTTCCATGTCAAACTGTGGGCTCTGGTTTGTGATAATTTCATCTGGACTTCTCCGCTTTGCCAGCATATTCTTTGCTTGATTTATGATACTTGAGCTAGTAAGTGTGTGATCTCTAACTATCTGGAAAAGTAGGCAACTGCAACCACGTATCTTCTCCCTTTAGCTCACAGATGTCAGTTCCTGCTCTCTTCAGGGTCTGAGTAATTATTAATGGTCTCTAAAGCTGGCTTTTAGGAGCAAAATTCACAACTGACTACAATCATACCATGAATAATATGTCTGCATTTCCTACTTTCTGGCCACAAAACAGACACCTTTGCTTCATAACTGTTACTAATGCCCAAATACCCATCTTGAGGTCTGACGAAGGATATGTGAGATGTTTCTGTTGGAACAATAATCTTATCTCATAAACTTTTTTTAGATTCTGTGTGGCAATTTCTTTTCAAGGAGAAAGTTCATATTCCCTTGGATATATTAATATGTTTAAGCCAGGCACTTTTCATGTACTGTGACATTCTCTGGAGTTCCAATTTTTTTAGCAGAAGCCTGTCTTATATTGTAACAATACATAGATATTCCCTTTATGTCCCTCTCGGTTCTCTCAGAGTTCTGTTTCCTGTGTCATTTGCAAATTTTGTATGAGTTGCTTTCAAAAGGTACTTAAATATGGTATAAGCAACAATCAAGACATTACCAGGAAACAGTCTGCTCTCAGATCATATTGCATCAGACAGAACTACAGATTTTGACATCTTATTGGCATCCCAGTTTAAGTATTTATCATATGTACAACCATTAGCTAACTGTACTAACATGGTTAATGGACAGTTTAAAGCAATCTAATCTGTACATTTTTTTTTCTTAGCACAGAATGTAACGTATCAAGTTCTAGCATCAGTATGGATCTGTAAACGGTATACAATTAACTTCAGCTGAACATCACAAAATTATAATAATCTCCTGCTTAGCTGGATCAGTTCGTACAAGAATTACCTTGTTAGCATCACAGAAGTAAAGTATTGGCAGTACAGAAGGAAGTCCCTTCATTCTGCTTTTGTGCTGTACTCCTACCTACATGCCAACAGTTTTCAATGTGTAATGTTTGTGAAGGAATTGGTTGGTATTTGCTTAGATGTTGACTATAACCTACCATTATTTTCAAATTCTGAAATTGATCTAGGAAGCTGAACTTCTTTAGTGTCTTTTAGTTTTGTGAGTCCAGGCACAAGCTGTGTGTCTTTATCTGGCACTTCTGTGCGTTACTGAAATTTATTTCTGATTACTGGAATGGATCATTATCATAGACTCAGAGATTGTCAGGGGCTGGAAGGGACCTTGGAAGGTCGCCGGGTCCAGCCCCCTGCACCAGGCAGGAAAGAACTGGGGTCAGGTGACCCAGCAAGGTGACTGTCCAGTTTCCTCTTGACGATTTCCAGGGCAGGAGATTGCACGACATTCCTGTAATTGGACTTTATTTGTCAAGCATCTTTATGTGCGTAGTTCTGTAGAAGAAAAAAATATCAAGACAGTCCAGATCACACAAGGTAACCTTCTAAAGGACATTAACATCTAGAAAACATACACACAATTACAAGTTTCATTAAGAGATCCACAGGAAGGAGTCAGCCTAAATACAGTTTCCTCCTCTTAATCTGATAATTGTTTGTTCATTTCTTTTTATGTACTTCTCCAAGAGTTTCAACTCTGGAGAGGATAGAGGCCACATGTCATTCATAGAGGATAAAAAAAAATAGTGCTGGAAGTCGGGTTGCCAACCCTTCAAAGTTGCCCTGGAGAATCCAGGAATTAGATATAAATCTCCAGGAGACTCCTGAGAGTCACCCGGGAGATGAATGGTAAGACATTCATTAAAATAAATATTAAATGTTTAACCAG